AAAGTCCCGGAAACGCGTCAATTAAACCAACGAAACGCGATAAATAAAACTGCAGAGTATTCAGAGCGAAAAGAAAGTTCGATTCGTGTAGCCGGATTCGACAAATTTATTTCGGGATCGAGGAAAAACCGAACAATGCGCTTTCTTCGTTCACTTGAATGCAGCAGCAGCACAACCATTGTCTTGTTTTCCTCACAACAATACTTCTATCTCTTCCTCATCCTCCTACTACTTCTTCTGATTAGAATGGAAGCGTTAGGCAATGAGAACAATTCGGGTAAACGACAATACTACAATTTTCCTTGTCCCACTTCGGTAATGCGAAAAAACCCCAAGGATGTCTATACTCTCCCCCGAAATATAAAAAAAAATAACAGCGACCGTAAACTTATCCTTGGGACCTTTTTCTTTTCTTCTTCATTCGCATTGCGCAACACACGACGGTTTAAAGATCTGGTAAAATGAAGAAACCGAAATGGGTTGGTCACGTTTCGCGCAACGCCATTGGGACGACGAAGAGGAACGAACGTTGAGCGGATTTTGCGGAGGAGAGAAAGTAAATTCGTTCCGATGCCATCGGCCGGATTAAATGGAAATGTTACAGATTTTAAGTCTCGTGCACTTTGCTTTTATCCGAGCAATTCATGAAATCGGAATTTAACGAAGCGCGACCAAAAGGCTTTTGCACCGCAAAAACCGAACAAGTTTTGCATCCAGAAACTGCTTCCTGCACACTTCATTTTCATATAATCTTATTTATATAAATCAAAATCTTTGTGTTATTTATTATTACATCATCAAACGAAAAGGCGTAAGGTCATTAGGCCACGAAACTATTAATATAAACCAAGTGGAATACTTTTCTTAGATGAAGAATCAATTAGGAATTCATTCCTTCGGAAATTTGAAGAAACCAACCACTTTAGATCTTCTAATGCGACGTGTTTCTCTCCTTTTTTTCTCATTACTTCCACGAACGTCTTCTCAATTTATATATATTTTTTTTATTGTTGCTGTAAGCTTAGAGACGAAGTATTTAATAATTGCAGCAATTACCCGTGAAGTGCGTAATTTCTGCCATCAACGCAAGAATTTTTCTTTATAAAATAAAAACATCAACATTCTGTTTCTTCCACCTCGAATCGCCTATTTACTACTCCCAATAGTACATAAGATACAATTACATGCATTTCTATTGACAATAACCAAATCCAACAGTAATTCACTTATTTCACAATAAATAAAAAAAAGTTCGAACAATTCTTTAAATTACAATTTGACTACAAAAATCATACAATTAAATTGAAAATTCATGAAGAAACTTAGCTAAAATTTATAATTAATTATGACATTTTCAATTGTACTCATTAATATAAATAATATAGACTTATAACTCTTAAATTTTCTATTAAAGAACAAAATTTGAGTTTTAGAGATTATTAAAAAATAGTTTAATGATATATTTGATTTCAGAATTTTCAGAATTTCACTCAAAATAATTTGCATAGATTAAAAGAAAATGAAATTTTTGTTTTAAACATTTCTGAGAATTTTATATACATTTTGTTAATGCTGATTAATTAATGGATGCTGAATTGAGAGATGTTCACTAAATATAGGTGGGATAACTGATGCTTAGAAATGTTAATTGAAAGAAAGAGGTAAAAGAAAAGACGTTAGAATACCAATTTTTCCTCGTCAGAATTTCTAAATGCCTATTAGAGTTGGAAACAGCGATCATCGTTTTTTTTTCTTCTTTCAGAATCTCTTCCAACTCATATGATTCACGTTTCATTCTTTCAGTAAACAAAATGAAATAAAAGAAAAAAATATAATATGAAACGCAGCGATGTGGAATGACGATGATGGAAAGTAGATGCAGGGGGCAATTATTTCAATTAGTGTCCGAAGTATGTAATTTTTTGCAATTTATCCTATTCCAGCAAGCCGCCACTACAGCAGCAGCAGCAACAACAACAACAGAAACAACAACAACAACAATCACGGTCATCACACTTTGACCGCACAGCCTCAAGAAGAGGAGGAGATCTCTTTCACATACGAGAGGAACACACGAATATGCATCATGCATGCACCATTCGCATCACCAGTCAGCACCACGTAATTTACGTGAACACGAAACTTTGAAGAAATGCATACATACCTCACTCACATCGAGAGAAAACGGGATTGTTACGTGAACGGAGGGAATTAGATACTCCTGTTTCTTTTATTAATTTTTATTTTATTTTCTGTGGTGTCGTTACTTTTCCGTTGCAGCGCGGTGTAATAACAGTAATAAATTAATGGAACAATTACGACAGTCGAAACTACAGTTCGGACAGCTCTTTCTCTCGTTATTACGTTAAACATCGACGTGCGCGCCTTCGCCTCTTCCTCTTCCTTCGTTTTGCTGCTTGTCCCGAGACATGAGCATGATTTCCGGACAACAAACTTGTTAAGACCAACGACCAACCGATGGGTTGTAATAGTAATGATGATGATGGTAGTACTACTCATGATGATGATGATAATACCACCCGAAGAACTGCAAGAGCAGTTTTACTTAATCATCGTTGCTTTTGCACGAAACTATTCATAGGCGAGCAATATTATTTCGGTGCACGAGAAACCTATTTATATTTTGACAACAATCATAACAAGAAAACAAACTGCATGCATTTCCAAAATTAGACATAAATAAAACAGAGACAGGAGAAAGTGACGAAAATCATAATTAATTAATCCACCGGATTTCTCTAATCACCCGAAAAATTAGAAACTGCCAATGAAACAATTAATCAATTGCTTGCGCACAATGAGAAACGATATTTCATGGAATTCACACGCTTATCAAGGAAAATTTCAAAAACGTAGGTGTAAATAAATTTTATATTTAAGAAAAAAAAGGTTAATGACTTCTATTTCCTGCGGCGCTTCAATACAAACACATGCATAATTCAAATAGTTTTAAAGCTGCTACAAAGCCAAAAAGTAACGTATTCCCCCTTTTTTATTTTATTCTAACTAAATCAAGTTTATTTTCGACGCTCCAATTCTAAATATGCATTATATAAATATAACCAGACAAATATTGTCGTACCAAAAAAAAAATATTTACGCAAACTAGAAACAATAAATTTTACTATTTTGATAGATGGAAAATTGTTCTTTGATTTATCTTAACTTTAATCCACATTGCAAATTATAGAATTCAGTAATTATTTAAATAATATACTTTAATTTTATACTTTATACTTTAATTAGATTAATAATAAAATACGAAAAATAGTGAATATCAATGTTCAATTGTGTTAGAAGTAATGATTGCAATTGCTCCAATGTATTCTACATATTCTAAATATACGTGCGTTCTTTAAATAGTTCATTACCCAATCACAACGATAAAACACGTTTATTATTATGGAACCGTACCGTCATCATAATTATTTTTAGTGCTGTTCACACCAAAACCCTCCCCCCATCTCGTTCACTATGCTTTCACCGTATCATCATCATAATCATCATCGTCGCAATCACAATATGGTACACCACACTTTCTCACTATCATCATTATCATATCGCTGAAAACTATCCTTCTTTCTTTTCTTCATTAAACTTTTCTCGCAATTTACTTTAATGCCGTTCGTTTCCTTCTCGTTTCGTCGCGACTTCACTCATTTCGTTTTATATACACATAATTTTTCTCCTCGTTTCTTTCTTTCTATTATATATTTTTTTTTCTGCTTTGCGCCATTAGAGATCGGATCTAGGTCTCGCAGAAGTAGACAAACTAGTATTAGTAGATCACGTCTGCGAGGAGAGGAGAACAGTACGACGACGATGACAACGGAAAAAATGCAGCGCAGAAATGCGGCTTGGGAGGAAAAGAAGCGCTTTTCCAACTGCAGAAGACAAGATTAAAAAAAAAATGCATGTGAACTATATTTTATAAAAGTGGAAAATATTTATAATACCAGAGATTATTTTCTAATCCAGATTTTACAAATAATTCAATTTAATTGCGTATTAAATAAATAGAAACTATTATAATATAAAATATACTTAAAACTGCAATAATAATATATTCATTGAAATCAATATACACAATACTTTCTTAATAGTTTTTCTTTTAAATTATTACATGATTTGTATACATTGAAAAAACTTTACTTGTCAATGTTTTAGTTTAAAATACAATAAACACGTTTCAAGCTTATACCAATATTAGATCAATGTTATATTAGCAACTTTACTTCTTTTTATATTTGTTGAAATTTCATCCATTTCTTATTAACTAAAGATTTGCAAATAATTAAATTATTTAAGTAATCTACTTTTCAGTATTTTGAGTGAAAAATTACATGATAATCCAACATGTTTACAACTATAAAAAGTTATCTAAATGTAAATTACTTCCTGCCAAAGGTATTAAGTAGTTAGGAAAGTGCAAAGTCAAACATTTCTAAATGAAGCTAAATAAATTAAAACTATTATAATATATTTTAATAAAAAAAAATATACTTAAAACTGCAATAATTATATATTAATTGAAATCAATATACACAATACTTTCTTAATAGTTTTTCTTTTAAATTATTACATGATTTAAACTAAAACATTGAAAAAACTTGTCAATGTTTTAGTTTAAAATAAAATAAACACGTTTCAAGCTTATACCAATATTAGATCAATGTTATATTAGCAACTTTACTTCTTTTTATATTTGTTGAAATTTCTTCCTTTAATGATATATATATTAACTAAAGATTTGCAAATAATTAAATTATTTAAGTAATCTACTTTTCAGTATTTAGTGAAAAATTACATGATAATCCAACATGTTTACAATTATAAAAAGTTATCTAAATGTAAATTACTTCCTGCCAAAGGTATTAAGTAGTTAGGAAAGTGCAAAGTCAAACATTTCTAAATGAAGCTAAATAAATTAAGTGGTTGTACGAATTGGAAATTAAGCTGTTGTTTATTCAGTTTATTACCATTCGCAGCAAAACGATCCAAACATGTTGCAGATCCTCGTTCAGCGAAGAATCTGTATTATCATTTCGGTTAGGAGTAAAGAAATTGCGAAGAGTTTCGGTTTTAAATGCTACTTGCCAACAGCAGAAGAGTTGTAATCGCATCGATCGATTTTCCCGGCGAATTGCAAGTGTCATCCAGAAACTGCGCAGGACTACTACTACTACCACCGGCGGTTCCTATCCTGCCGACCGTCTTGAATCCTCCTGTACTGCAGCGCGTATGAAGTGTAGGTGGACACTACGTCGTAAGCGTGAGAAAGAGACCCCCCTTCGGTACACAAAACACGTGATTGCGAAACCGTATTTTCAGAGACGACGAGACCAGACGCAATTCTGGTCTCCTCTATAAATAAATGCACGTATTTTGTTGTATAATAAATCGAGAATGAAACGTTTCGAGTTTCGTGCAAGTAAACAAGGCACTGTTGCGAATGAGCGAGTAATAAAGGAAGAGAGAGAGAGTTAGTTTGAGTGTGCACCTGCCCTTGGATCAGGGCTCGCCCTTTCTGAGGTCGCCCTTCGTAACCGGGGGAAGGCAGAGCGCGCCTGCTTCTACAATGCACGTGCGCAACACGTGTCGCAAGAAAAAGAGGTGCTCGAAGAAACGCACCTTCCTGCTAGGTGGGCACGAACCTCTCTTCCATCCATCCATTAAGACCACTTTCCACCTGCCTGAAAACTTACGACTCGACCAATTTTCCCAATGCCGGCGAGCGAGCGCATTATATATAAATTTCAATCGACTTTTAATTGCTTTCTCGATATTATACAAACATATGGGTTACGAGAAAGTTTTGAATTTGAAATTGGCGATTTCACGCGATTTCCGCGATTGTTTTTGTCGCGCGTTTCGGGTAGTTTTTCTTTTAAAGTAATCGAGTAATCAATCAAGCAGAGATGAATGGGATTTGTAATTAGGGACCGCAGGCAAAAGCAAGACCATTGTTGCTTCAATCAAGGAGGGAAAAGAGCGTCACGAAATCGCAGAAAACCATCATTAATTACGTACACACTTTACGTTTTTCGTTGCAGGCGAAAAATAAACTGTTCGTGTCTAATTTCTACAATGATTTTCGCAAAACCTCTTCAATAACTGTCTTCAGACTTCATCGCTTCTCTCATTTACATTTACTATTTCAAGATAAATCATCCTTTAAATATATACAAGAATTATTAATGTGCTTAATAGCAAACATTAATACATGGATTTTACATTTATAAATTTGTAATTTCCAATACAAAAAAAATATATAAATATTTATAAACATTTTTTTTATTATTATTATAAAAATGTTCAAGACTATTTATTGCCTTATTGTAGACTTAATGATCTAAAATGTTCCTAAATACTTTGGTTGCATAATTTGTTGGTTGCAGGAACTTCGTGAAAGACAAGATCAAATAAAATTGCATAAGGTCGAGGTATTCTCAACGTTGCATGAAATATTAATTTAATAGTGTACATAGCATGCACAAGCTCGAGACGTTTAAACGTGTCATTAGCAAATGCGTTCCTTTTGGGAGAATTCGTGGAAGACTCAAAGCGCAAAGTTTTAATGTTCCGGAGGAAATTGCGGTGCAAACATTTACGGTCATTAAAAGTGGAAAGAGTTAAAAAAAAATGGATGAAAAGAGAGTTGGAGCAGCTTCATTAAAATCGTGCGCGGCGTATAATTCGCAATCGCACTTCCGGTTCCGGTCTTCGGCTATTATAAATGATGATGCCCAATGCCCATCAATCTTTGGGCGCATTCCGATCGGAGGAGATGCTAACTGTACCAATGTCCATTATTTCCAGCCAGTTTTCCCAGGGACAAACAACAACAACAACAATAATACGAACGGAGGAAGAGGAAAATGAAGACATAAAATATATTTAACGGTAGAACGGGAATGGATAATTAAGAAGCACTGGGAGAGTGATCATATCTCGAAACCACAAACGGTCACTTAATCAGTGGACGGGAGGTCATAACTTCGGGATGGCGACAGCGACGATAAAGCTCCGCAGATACGGGGATGCCAGGAATTTGCGTAACGCCTGGGAAGACATAAATAAAGGACGAATGAATGTTGCTTCTGCTGCAGTAGTAGAAGAAGAAAAAAGACGATGCAAAATTGCGAGGATGAGGATGGAAGAAATCTTGAGGTTATTGCTGAGACGATCTCGTTCGATAAAACCTGAAAGCCTAGGTTTTCGAAAAGTACGGTCACGATTCGATTCCTCCGCACTTGTGTATCGCTCGTGGAGACGTACAGAGAGAGCGAATGAAAGAGATACAAAAAAAATATAGGATAAATGTCCATGCGTTGTCAACTGCTGTAGCTGCAAGCGCCAATAACATGCAGCGCCGATAAGGCTTATGGTAAATATGTCAAAATTTACATAAGATTAATTCGGGCCGCTCGGCATAATTAAATAAATCTTATGCAAATTTCGATGAACCCCACGGGTTTACATACACGTACAGAAAGAGAAGTGAGGAGAGGCCAAACGAAATAAACACGACGAATGTAAACGGCTTCGGTCAATAAATGCATATTACTTGGAATGCTCTCTATCTCTCTCCCTCATCCAGATATAGTCTACTTAAACATGATGCTAATGTCTCCTAATAAATGGGGAATGCTACAACCAAAACCGATCGAAATCGCTATTATCGAAGACTTTCCCATCGCATTTCAATGAAAACTTACATCGCTCAAGTGTAACGAGTCAGAAAGAAAAAAGTTTAATTAGAAATTAAAGTCACTATTACTTCTTATATATCTGTACGTAGATAATCAAGAATACATTTTCTTCTTCGTTTATTTTTGTATCTCTTAAACGAAATGATAATTGAAAAATTTTGTAACTAATAGAAATTGAAACAATATTGTTTTCACTCAAAAACTAAATAATTATTCGATTTTTTAAAATCATTAATACGCTATTATATCTGGTGACAATGCATTTCTACATCATTAAAAATTGTAAAAAAAAATTGTTTCACCTTGAAAAATTGCTAAAAATTAAGAAATTTTAATGTTACTTGAAGTAACAAACATGAAAATAACGAAATATCAAAATTTTAGTCATTGATTAAAAAAAAAATATAAACATCTTTCTAAAAGTTGTATATTAACATAATTTTTTTGTAAATTAAACCGTTTTATTCATAAGTATGAATCACTTGATTCAACAGACTTTAAACATAACATAAAAGTTTTACTAATATCCAGGACATACAATAAAACTGTAAAGTCCATATTAAAATATTGGAATTATTGGAAATAAATCAAAATTCTAATACATTTTTTGTATTTTTTTTTAAACTTAATGTAGTCTAATATATTTGAAATAATTATGCGAAATTATTATTAATTATATACTCAGGTAAAGAAATTAATAAAACTGTTAAGAAATATTTTATTTTGATCCTTTTGTATGCGTTGTAAATAATTAGAGTAAAACTATCAAACGTAGGTGTAAATTAGAATATGCATAAATCAATGTGGAAATAAATAACAGGAGATTGTACAAACACATTGATATAATGACTTGGAAGTATTATAAATAGCGAACGGCAGGAAGAATAAGAGATATAAGTTGAGCGTAATTAAGGAAATGGATCTCCTCCTCTCTAGCTGGAATAAAACGAGTCGATAAAATATGATATGCATACGTGATATTTCCTTGACTTGTGTAATATTGGAATTTCTGCAATCAATCCTTAATGAAGCGAGAGAGAGAAAGAGAGAGAGAGATGAAATAAGAGGGAAAGAAATAGAAGGCAATCAAATCGATCCGTTAGCTACTCAAATCAATTAGCACAGAAACGAATAAATCCGAATACCGAATGGAAATGCGACAATAACTGTAAAGGCCCGTATCTCTATTTTTAACTGTGACTCAGCAATTAGCGTATTGACCATCAACATCTTCTCGCTTCAACTTATCTTTTTTTTTCGTACAATCACACGTAATTGATTCGCATACGTAAATATTATGATGATCGGAGATGAAATTGCAGATCGTTATGAGTATACGCCGTTCCCGGAATTACGCGCATCTACATCTTTCTCTTACTATAGCATTACGTACTAATTATTATTTCGATAAATTTATTATTGTTATTATAGAGGAGCCCACATCGAAGAAACGAACGTTATGAATCATTCGTGAGATCAAAATTCAAGTTAACATTACTTATGTTTATATATGTGTAATAATGTAGGTGTTCTTCAGTAAAAAGGTTATCCGTAATGTTCACTTATTTCGTCTTCTATTAGTTAGTACATTGTGCAAGATCGTACACCAAAAATATAAATAATAATTACATAATAATCTTCAAAAAAAAAACTGATCAAGGCGATTGCATAACAATACTTGTTTTGTTGCAATTAGTTTCGCAAATTTCCATAAGTAAAATGTATCTATTCATTCAATAATATACGTGGGGTCTAATAAAAGTTCGCTAATTTGGCTTTCATTCATTTGTTTCTTAAAATAACAAAAGTTGTTTCTAAATTTGTTAAAGTCTAATGATATATCATGTCAAATTTTAAGAAGATCGGTAAGAATGGTTAGGAGAAAATGCAACTATTTCCAATTGGTTTCAAAGATTTCAGACCGGATATTTTTCTGTGGGAAACGAACTTCGTAAAGGTTGCCCCAAATCTTCAACCAATGATACAAATGTAGCCCTGGTGAAGGCAGAAATTGACGAAGATCCAAGAGTAAAACAGGAAATGGTAGTTGATGAACTGAGCTTGAATGCCATGGCTTTGTCGCAAATATTAAATCATCATTTTGGCTGCACGAAGAAATCCAACTAACTTTTATTAAACCCCACGTTTTCATTTAAATATAACAATTAGACAACTTTCAAATTAATTCTTTTTTTTATCATTTAGAAAAAAGTAAAGAAATTCATGTTGTTTTCAACATCCATTTTTTTTTCTGTTGAAAATAAAATTACGTAATACGATGAAAAATTTAATTAATATTTAATAATTCGTGCAAATTATTGAATTAAGGTTAATAATTTCTCACAAGCTGTTTGTAATTAGTTTGTAAGAAGTTTTAGACTAATTGCAAATTTCTAATTGAAGTTGAATAACATTTTATTAGTTTCAGTTTAATTGCAAAACTTCTTTTTCGTAGAAAATGAATTATAAATTAATCTTTTTTTTGTTAAGTTATTATTTTAAGAAAAAATAAGCAAACATAAATTATTTAATGTTAATTAATTTGTGTGTTTGTTTTATTTGTGATACATTTTACTACTATTAATAATTATCAAAGTAATATAAAGATAAGATTTTAATCTTTATTACAACAGGAATTAATGAAATAGAACATGTTTAATTAATATCTAGGAAATAGAACGAGATATAAATGTTCCTTAAATAATGCATGTAAATATTAAGATCCAATTGGACATTTCAAT